ATTGTGTACCTGTGTTCCATTAACAAACCAAAACTACCTAATGTAAATTGACATTTGAATTGGGTACTTTGCATAGCCAAAATTAAAGTTGTCTAGTCACAGTACGCAAGAACTGAACAAAAATACATCTCTGATTTTTAGCATGCTAACCGCTGACACTGCTAAATTAAAAAAAATGGAAATGGGAAGGAAGAAAACGTTTCAACCATCCCTCTCAATGTCTGCTTGGACATTGTATTATCGCTACTGACCGAAGGTGGTCTTGTGGTTAGGGTTGTTGGTTCTGGGTTCGAATTCCTGCCAGGCCCCATTGTAGTGTCCTTGGAAAGATACTTAAAAGCTATTTCCTCACTTGACTCCGTCGTAAATGAGTTAGGGGCGTCCTCTCGGATAGGATGTAAAGCCGGAGGTCTCGTGTTTAAGGAGGGTCACAGCCGGCTTGAGCACGTTATAGATCCCGCCACACTTATCGAAAAGAGAAGGGGTCCTTCCCGGTGTGAGTGGTTCAAACATTACAGTCCGGATTTGACATCTTGAACTGATAGTTACCTGTTATGTCAATCCTTCCACAAATGTGGTAGAGCATCATAAATAAAACAAGAGAAGTGACATAACTGGTACAGGCTACGTTTAGAAGGGTCATTTGAACAGTCAAGGAGTATATTCGGGATTCGGCAAATGCACTTTTTAGTGAACCAACTCCCCTGGCATGTTAGCTATCTCGGCAATTTCTACTCTTCCAGCCGCTTCTCGAAGCCTGGTAGAGGCTACGACTTTGTAGCTATATAGCCAGCGTTGTTCGTCTGGTAGGAACTAAGTCAAGTGTGCTAACAGACGTTGTATCAACAACGCGTACAAAGACGAGCACGCGATCTGAGACTACTTGATCAATGCTTCAGTAGCTTGTGACTTATTTTGTCTCAAGTCGCCCTGGCTCATAAACCCACTGACTTATATATCTCACTGGGAACATAACTCATGTCATCTTAAAGAATTGGTTGAGCAAAAAAGAAAATATTATCGCCAATTAAAGATGTACTGATGATATGACATGTGTTATTTAGACAGCACGCCATTGAAAAGTTCTACATGAAAGATAGATGACATGAGAACATTCAAGGATAAAGAGTATGATTGAAGATTCGGTGATATTTAGCCCGTATAGATTTAGGGGAAATCTAAGAAACAATTGCTAGTATCAGCTCACGAATACACATGTACTGTCATGTACTGGTGATATGACATGTGTTGTTTAGACAGCACGCCATTGAAAAGTTCTACATGAAAGATAGATGACATGAGGACATTCAAGGATAAAGAGTATGATTGAAGGTTCGTTGATATTTAGCCCGTATAGAGGGCAAATCTAAGAGACAATTGCTAGTGTCAGCTCACGAATATACATATGTACTGTCTATCTCTGTGTACGTCTAATGCACCCCATAGACACATGTACTGTCTCTGTGTACGTCGACGTCTGTAATGCACCCCATAAACATATGTACTGTCTATCTCTGTGTACGTCTAATGCACCCCATAGACACATGTACTGTCTCTGTGTACGTCTGTAATGCACCCCATAAACATATGTACTGTCTATCTCTGTGTACGTCTGTAATGCACCCCATAGATAATCATAACGCAGTAGCTTCCCAGCACACGGCATTTTGTATCTAATGAAGTCCCAGGCGGCCGATGATCGCCTTATTAACCCGTCCAGTCGCCGTGCTCAATCAGTCCACATGCAGTGTCAGGAGACATCTCGGTACGTGCTTTTGTATTGCTTTGAATCGAATTCGGTCTCATTCGGCAAAAATATAGAAAGAGTTTATTGCAAATACATGTCCGAGAATAAAAGAACTTTATTGCACGACAATTGTACATGATACAATGTATGGCAACGACTATTGAACATAGTACAAAAAAGCCTTTTCTACTTACTAATGATAAGGGACTACGTCTAACGTTATGCTATATTCTGAAACATATATGGTGCTACATAGCTAGCAACGACTATTGAACATAGTGCAAAAAAGCTTTCTGGTGTGCCACACTTCCTGGTGTGTAGTTGAAGGCTCCGCGGTCGCTGCAAATAGTTTTGATTTTGACTGTTAGTCTCTTAGTCGAAAACTGCCTGTACCTGAACCATAGCAATGCGCTAACCGCTAGGCCAAAAGGTCCGTACCCGTCAGAGGAGTCAGTTGTTAGCACTTGAAACCCCACTGTAACATACTGTTTGCTAGTCGCCAAGAGAAGCATCACAAGCCCCTCCCTGGATATGGTACGCACATGTACTAATCGTACATCACGGAAACGTGTGCTCATATATGCAGTACTGTCAGCTGTCAGGCATTGTGGTGACTGGAGTTAGTGTTTCACAAAGCTATTTGTTACTTTAGACACGTATAGTCGTCGAGTTTTGGCAAGTATATGGCCCATATACTCACAACAATAAACAGTAATACTTTCCCCATACCCTACCCAAAGTTGGCAGCATGTCGTCTGTGGTATTTTGAGTAATGTCATTGGATTCATTTCTGTTACACGGTGATTTAAACGTATCGCAGGGTTCTTTATCTTCATAATGTACGTGGGGCCTGTTTAACCTTTGTTTACGTTACTCTAGACACGTTTTCAGACGACACTGGAATAGCCTCCATAGCATGCCAAAAACTGGGGGTTTGTGGGATCTTTGGGAGCTTTTATGTGATATTTGCTGATTGCATATAGACAACATAGCCGGCCTGGTTGAATTACCTCCGTTTTTTTAGAACTAGGATAATCAAAAAAGCAGCCGAAGACCACCAAATCCCCAGTTGTATAAGCCTGCTACGGAGGCTAACACTGGAATTCAACACCTTTCAGATAAACTTTGTACAATGGCGAACCATCAGAACACTCCGTTCAACACCGCTGCTTTTATTGAGTTCAGGAAACATGAGGTCAAACAAGCTATTGTTGTCTATGTCTACATGATGTACAAACTGTACACTGCTACTGATAAGGTTTCCGTTGCTTCATTCTGTCAGAGTCAACGCCCCCTCCCCCCAAAAAATGTGTGTGTGGGGGGGGGGCACTCACCATGCCATTATAAAGGTTACAACCATATGAAAATATTGATAAAACTGTGATTTAGCTTCTTTCACTCTTAAACGGATTAACACAATGTGCGATCGTTTGCATGAACCACGTACACAGTTATTAAGAAGTAGGTATACATATGCTCATATGTACATATTCTTTCTTTTCTTTACACTTTCTTTCTTCCTCCATTTCATTCACAGTTCCCTCTCTTTTTGTGAGTCTCACTGGTACTTTCACGATTTAATTTCTACGCTACACAAATGTGAAGGTCACAAGTAACTCTTCGTCAGGAGTTCCAAAAAGACCACTTTATTTTCTAATTATCTTCCCATTATCGTCTTCTCCCTTGTATAACGGTATTCCCCTTTTTGTGTAATTTTGTTTGGGGTGTAATTACTTGCTAATGGCGTCTACAAAGGAAGTTACAAATTAGTCACGTCGTACTTGGTTGCAGTGATACATTCTACGGTTCCACACAGATTACCATGGTGTGAATGGTCTAAGCCTGGTTCCGTTACCGTTAGAATGGCTTTCCTCTGTGCCGTTGGCTTGACATTGAATGATCAGAATTCCTCTTCTTTTCTAGGCGTCAAAGCGCGTTGCTCAGTACCGGGGTTATGAGGGTGAGTCCGCGGTGGTCTTGCCGGGTGGACAGCCTTTCTGTAACCGTGTTCTGTCCCTGTAGTAGCAACCAGTGCGAATTCCTGCAATCTCCTACCCTCCACAGCATGCCAAAAACTGGGGATTTGGGGGTCATCAGGGTCTTTGGGAGCTTTTATGTGCTATTTTCTGATTAAATATAGACAACAAAGCCGGCCTGGCCACCAAACCCCCAGTTCTATAAGCCTGGTACGGAGGCTAGCAATCTCCAAGCAGATCTTTCAGGCGGTTGCAGCAAAGACACTATTTTTACTATATCAAATTGGCCAGACATGTACAGTATCCATTTGCCAGGCAGTTACCAATTGCTACCCGAATGGCTGGCGTGAAAATATAAAAGGGTACATGTACCAGTACAACAAGAGAGCTCGATAAAAATGCCTACAAACACGACAAAATAAGCCGAAGGCGAAGCCCAAACCTCTGCTTGGCGAGTATGAAAGAAGTGTAAACGGTTGCAGACAATGATTCAAGTTAGAGAACGTTGCGGGCTTTCCTCCCTACATCTACTTGGAGACTGTCAGGTACCCATGGAGGTCTATATCGGATAACTGCTCTTCAGAAAAATATTGGAAAACGATTCTAATGTCCTAGAATGCCAAAATCGATTCCAACGGGAAAGAAGAAAATGTGAAGAAATTATCATGAAGAGTCTATTATTATTCGGCGCCATACGTACTCGGTTTGTTTAGTCATTTGTCACCTTCATGACCACGTAGAAGGCAACTTTTTGCCGAACATTATTCGCACGCTAGCATCAGTTTTTGGGTACCTAGAGGATGTCATCCAAGTAATCAAATCAACATTGCCTATAACCTTTTGAAAAAGGTGGAGATTACCCTCAGCTGTTTTCCGGTGTCGCCAAATGAAGTCTGACAACAGGAGCTAAATTTGGTTCCCGTCTCCTGCTAGCGTGCGTAATCAGTGGACATGTCTCTTTTCATCCATCTTTTGTTGGATACGACCTCGTTAGTCACGTCCTAATTAGGTTTGGATCACGCAGCTCGGAGATGGTTTGTTGCTATGGAGACACTAGAGGGCATAAACAACTGAAATCATGCAGGTGAAGTAGACAGAGAAGAGAATCTAGAGACATGTCGACAAGAGTCTAGGGATCCGGAGAAAGAAAGAAATTTCAAATTAAGATAGAGTTTGATTTGATTTCTATGGTCTACAATACAAATCCATTATAATAACAACTTTATTCGCAAAATCATACCCGAAGGCTAATTGCTTGTACAGTAATGTAAAAACAGTAAAACGGGTCGTTTATGGCAGTCTGTTTTGTTATTCTGGAGGCATTTTTCAATTTCATGGTCACTAACAACAGACCAGTTAGTTGCGCTCCTAGCGGTTGTGTTTAGAACTGCAGCACCTGTTCCTCCCCTGGCAGAAATCTATGACGTTCCCATGACGTCACAGCACAGGCCAATCATCGGGGGGCGGGGCGCCCTCTACCCTCCGTTTAAAAAGCCGCATTAGAATACAGCCCGGCCGCGGCTGCTGAGGTGGAGTTCCTGTTATTTGGGGGCAAGTCTGTCGTCGGAGGCAAGTTTGTGGACATCGCCGAGCCCTTACAAGCCGACTTAAGCCGTCAAAACAAGGACTAAGAGGACTAAGACGGGAATTTCTGCCGGGATCTTCTGGTGGCGGGAAAATCAGTGCAGCAAATCACGGCGTCCTGCTGAGAGGCTGCACGCTGCGCGCAAGTGTTGTACAAGGTCGCTGGAGATAAGACATTGTAGACCGTGTTTTACCCTCTGATTTTGCCCGTATGACCAAATTTCAGTCGTGTTTTTGGTAAGGTGAGGTTCACGGCTGACTAGGCAGCTCGCTGCTAACCCAAGACTCGATACGGACTAGTCGTCACAACAACACAAGTCACAACACGTACGCCACTCTCAACCGCGAGATTCCGTCACATCCTATCGAAAATCTCTCGCAAGAGACGTCTTCACTGCACCGAAAAGATGGAAGGACTTTCTTATCTCGAGGTGCCGTGCGTTTGTAGCAGTCTTCGCGGCTCAAGCATCCTCTAAGAGTCAAGTGTGGGCGACAGGAACAAAGGCTGGAACCACAAGACATCGGTGAGGCCTCTACCGTCTACGAGCACGTCAAAACAAAACCAAAACACAAAACAATAGACTCTTCCAGAAGAAACCAGTTCGTCCCAGTCACTGCTCAAGACATGGAGAGGGGACACCCAACTCCTTAAAGTACTGCCTCCAGTGTCTTGAAGATTGAAGGATCCTCAGAATTAAGTGTTTCAAGGAAGTGAAAGTGAGGGAAGAAGACGCCCTTGAGGAACACAGCACGGCGACTGCCCTCGCAGCATGACTCGGGTGTTGACAGCTGGACATGTGAAGATTTCTCCAACACGCTACCTGTCCGGTTGTCATGGCTACGGAGTCTTTAATGATGGATTCTAGAGGGTGGAACGAGCCTCAGGGGTGTCTGCGCCTGATGGAGACACCGGACGCCATGGACCGGGTGGCCCTGTGGGACACCGGAGACAAACCCTCCCTGGCCTCGGAGCACCCCAGCTTGTGTACCGAAGACCTCGAGTCACCACTCCGGTAACAAATTATAGCCAAACGTTTTGATATTCAGACAAGCTATTCCATGTTTCATCGTGCACAGATTAATACATGGGCACAGCCATCTAACGTTTAAAGCAGATAGAGAGCTTTTTTTTTTAGAAATATCTGGTGGAGTACATGTAAATTGTAAGTGTTTTGGAAATGAACACATGTTTTGGAAATGAAGAGTGACTTGGTTACTCATGGGTGACAGGCATTTTATAATTTTCAGGCAACACTGCTTTACAGGAAATGTTTATATGGATATGAAAACTCAACATTCTAACAAAGGAGAAAATGCAATTTACTCCCAGAAATATGTCTCTGTTTGCGATCACAAATATTACAGACTTACACTATAGAACGAATCTGAGGTACTATCTGGCAATCTCCAAGCAGATGTTAGGGAGGAAGATTGTTATGGTTTTCTCTGTCATCTCAAATTCCTTTGATGTAATAACATCATGTTGACAATCCTATAGAGGTCCAGGGGCATGCTCCCCCGGGATACACTTTCAATCTTGACCCTCTGAAATGCTCCTTCGCTATTTTGACTGAGGGGAACATTTTACTCACCTACAACTCTTCCATATATCTTTTAAAAGTATATGCCAATTTTTGTCTGTCAAAGTCGACGGATTGGGCAAAATTATTGTCCATCGTGAGTGGCAAAGTTCCATCAAATGACAGAAAGATGCTCACAGTCACAGGCTAGAACCAAGACAGTTAACCTCCTTGCTATAACACTGTTCTGCCCTCAAGTTGACTCCAGCAGGAATCTTGAACCTTTGCCTACATGTAGTCCCTACAGCCTCCCAGATACCAGAGGAGCCAGTCAGGAATTCCCCCCATGTGTGTGTTACACTGTTAACATAATGGCCACTTTCAGACCCCAGTAACGTCACCATGGATCTCAGCTGAGAATGTGTGCACTGTCCGACACACGGCCTCCACAACCTCTCCGGGAGAGAGAGATTGTCCTCCGCTTGTCTTTGTGTTAATGGCCATGTTTTCATGCTGTGTACAGTGTGTAGTCCGTCCAGGGCTCAAAATTAACGGTGTCCTGATGGCCACTGACCACTAAAATTTTAGCTGGGACAACTTAAAAGACAATATGGGACATTTTTGGGACAATAGAAAAATAATCAACATCAGAATGTCACCCTTCTTGCGTTTGGCTCCTGAAAAAGCTCCCAAAATTTGCCATTTACTCTGCAATTATAGCGCGCCTGAAAGTCAGAACGTAAGCAAAATAAAGCTGACTTCAAGTTCACTTGCTGAAAAACAGGTTGGGACAGTTCATCCTCACTTCGGGACAATTGAAATTTATTTTTGGGACAGTGCTGGGGACAATAGGAAGAAAAGTTAATTTCGAGGCCTGCACTTGTCATGTATTTTATGTATACCTCCCCTTATTGGGTACTATACAATAGATCGTAAGAGGTAGTTTACTCAGTGTAAGATGTGTGTGTGGCTTCGTAGATTTACGACAGGGAAGGCACAAATGTATTAATCAAGGTATTGTTTGAAACTTTCTATTTTCAGTGTCTAAGACATGGTTGTAAGCTTTCTTAGCATTGTAAGTGTCACCAAGGAGCTTCGAACAAGTTTGAACCTCCTTGGTATCACCATGACAGCACAATCTTAACAAAAGCTGGAAGAATAGAAAGAAAGAAATGACCTACTTTCACTAGTAAAAGCAGAAGACAATTTTTTTAACATCAACAAAAATACTGATATGAAAACTTTTTTATCATTGAGAATTGTTACATGTACCAATTTAAAAACACCCTGTTTTTTGTTTATTTCAATGTGTTTTGCCATTTTCGAAATTGTCCTATCTATCCCTTCCTGCACCAAAACGTTGTCATTCTAGACTCTGCAAATTCTAACACAAGTTGTTTTCTGCATAGTTAATTATAACAACTTTTTGTTGTTTGATCATCGAGAATTGCAACATACACAAGAATTTGAAAACCCCCTGTTTTTTGTTGATTTCTATGTTTTGCCATTTACGAAATTGTCCTCTCTATCCTTTCCTGCATCGTAACATTGTCATTCTTGACTCTGCAAATTCTAACACAAGTTGTTTACTGCATAGCTAATTATAGCAACTTTTTGTTGTTTGCCACAGTTCACTGCCGGGATCCAACGATTCCCTGGTCGACGCGGGCAGCGATGGAGAGGAAGATAGCGTCCGTGTGGTCGTCAGGTAACCATACACACAAACCACCTTCCCTAGAGATGACAATAGTAGCCTGGGTCCCCCGGGGCAACTCTTCTTGATTAATGGCTAAACCTGTAGTGCTGTCACCTGCCTTGCTTGCTAATACACGCACCAGGTGTATTAGCAAGTCGCTGTCACCAAGTACAGTAGGGGCATTGTCATTAGATAGCTTTAAACAATGTCTAGAGTTAGATGTTCAAGGGTTAGGTGTAATAAGTTGATCAGTGTAATGTAGCCACCTGCCGCCGCACCGCGCGCCTGTGAAGCTGGTGTGTTATGCGGTTATACCGGCTATACAGATACAGATACAGCAGGTGGCTTACTGGTCTCAACTAGTCTCAAAACACATGACAGACGCCCAGAATTTAAAGGCGTCCAGTGCAATTTCAGGGTAGCTAAACAATTATACATATTCTGGATGAGAAAACCATTTCTTAGCACATCTTGGACTCATCATTCTATACTTCAAGACCCCCCTCCCCCCTTTTTTTACTGAAAGATACTGACGAGTAAAATGTTGAGATTCCCCCCTCCTTGTTCATGACCCTGTGCTGTCTAGTCAGGGATTGTTTTGAAGAGTCGGCTCTGTCTACTTAGGGATTGTTTTGGTAAGGAAGCCCTGAAGCAATGTCAAGGACAGTAGAGTCGCTTCACTCACCTTCCCCATCCCACATATATCACCAAGAAATGTAGCACCTAGAATGAAAGTTCATCTGAGTTGGTAATTTACATGTATAGGAAAAATTAAACTTTTCTCCAGCTCAAAGAAATTAGTCTCATCACCTTTCTGACCTAAAATTATGGTGAGTCTGATTAATAATTTCTATCAGTTGGAGACTGAACAGTTTAATTTTTCGTATATCAATTATGCTTAGGCCTAAGAAAATTAATGTTGTGTTTTCAGTTTCAGTACTGAGAAAACTAGGGTCGGTAGGTAGCACTAGATCATTTAAAAATTTTTTTTTCTTCTAGATTTCGGCTATTATATAATAAAATGATCCAACAGGTTAAGTTTAACAATGCTTTGGGACTGTGAAGGACCTGTCCACCTGTTCACTTGTGGACAAATATTTCACATGAAGAAAAAATTGCTTCTGAAAAAGTGTTAAATGACATTTCAGATAGATAGAGGGTTTGAAATTCAGATTGAAAATTTTATTACCTTATAATGTACCAGTGGCTGATTATAAGAAAAAGTCTAGAGTTGGCAGGGTTTTTTGCTAACTAGCAGCTAAGGTTTGTCAGGAAACCAGAAACACAACATTTTTCCCTTGGCCAAGTACCTGTCATTACCACTACCCATGTCTGATTTATGCCAAGACAAAAAGGGCTTTGACATACAAGGTTCAGTATCAGTGACTTTCAGAACATTGTTCTCCAGCCTCAAAGACACTAGCTACTTGAGTTCCTTGTCCGAAGCCTACAACGTTTCATAAATACCTGTTATATAAAGTCTACTGGCTTCTATTTTAAGGAAAGGGATAAGGGAAAAGGCCAGGCTATTGCAGTTCACCATCATATTCATAATCCAGCAAAATGTCATGGTTCTCTTATTGGTGGCTGGCTCAGACACTGTCTCAATCTGGACACATACTACAGTTTGATACTGTAACACTTTAGCCTAAAGTTTAGGTGAAAAATAAATCTACTGGTAAATTTCATAGCAAGGAAACTTCTAAAACTGATTCAGCTTTATTCATATTGGCTTGACATGTCAAATAAAATTTGGACATGAAGTGTACCAATATTTACATTGTCAATTCAATTAATACATAAACTACCCAGAGCACATAATACAGCAAAGTATAAAGGGATAATAAAAAAAAAATTGTACTCATTCAATGATTGTATAGAGTTCAGCAATACTTAATGTCATGGTGGACAAGTTTATGCAGCATTTGCACAATATTAGAATATAATAAATAATACTGAATCTGCAAAATAGTTAAAACACCCCAGGTTCCATGATAGCCAACAATTTAGCTTCCAAGAATTAAATGGATCCATTTTCGATGTAATATTAACTAGAACTATCTGCTGAATCATAGGTTTTACACAGATAAATTATGACTACCACCAAAATGATTCTTCAGCCTGTCATTGGCTATCGACATCAAAAAGGGATTTCTTTGATGATCAATCCATCTAAGGCTGTAAATCTTAGCCCTTAATTGTGTCATTTTCAAAAGATCTGAGCTTAATTGTTTTGGCATCAAACGTTTGTGATTCAAAGGAGTTCATTGACATCAATTGAGTATTGACACGACTGTTTGTACTATAATGTTTTTTACTACCCACTTCTATACACTTAAGAAAATCATGCCCAATTGTCTGACTTGAAAGAAATATGTCGCATTGACAATAACACATGATTTGATTGAAAGGTAGACACGCAATTTGTGTTACTTGTTATTGACGTGTGTAGCAACGAAAAACGCCATAATGATTGTGACTTATCCGCCAATTATTTGGATGTGTTCAACCTTGGAAAGGCTAGACTTAACTAGGTGCTGATGGTAGCCAAATTGGCAAATTGAAGGAAAAGTAATATGTCTGTCAACAGCAGTTCACCTCACTACTGGTAATGGTATACATTGATTAGTCTCACGTATAACATGTTGCCTATTTTTACCTTCGCCAAGAAGGTTATGTTTTCAGGGGCGTTCGTGTATGTATGTGTGTGTGTGTGTGTCTGTCTGTCAACACGATAACTTAAGAAGGCCTTGATGGATTGTCTTGATACTTGGTAGGTGGGTAGATCTTGATGAGACCTCAAAGTGATTAGATTTTGGACCCCCTAGCGGCTTGTTATGGTACTGCAGCTGAACTTCCGGTTTTGATATCTCATGATCTAGACATGCTATGGTGATGAAATTTAGATGGTAGGTAGCTCTTGTGCTGGGGAAGAAGTGACGTGAGTTTAGGCCCCCTAGCGGCTTGCTCTGGAACTGCAGGGATAAATTATTGAAAATATTCAAAAGGGGATAACTCAAGAACCGGTTGACGGATCGTCGTGATTTTTGGTATGTAGGTAGCTTACGTGATGCTTAATATAATTAAGTGACAACTATGCAAATATTGATGTAATTTGCATAATTTATGGAGAAATTCTATAAATCAGCTGCATTCAATAATAGGACAATTAAAGCTTGTGACATTGGTAATTGACAACGAGAGAAACACAGGAAGATATTGATTATGTTGATAATGACTTAATTTGCATAATTAATGAGAAAATTTTATAATTATGTAATGATAACTGCCTGGAATTTCATACTTGTGGTATTTGAAAGTTAAATTGAGGTGAACATCATTAAACATAATTTATTCAAATCAGGACCTCATTTGCATAACTTATTAGGAAATGCTAGAATGCATTGTTTGTTAATATAAGACTGTTTTTTTGGTTGAGATTATTATAAAATGATATAATTCATGAAAATTAGGTTCCTATTTCTTAAATCAGGGGGGAATAATCTAATCTATAATTTGTCAGTCATAAAGATTAACATCATTTGGCGAAGGTATGAGATCGGGGAACTCTAGTTTTGCCATATATTTGTCTTCCTGTCAACCTAGATACGTCATAGAGAGAGATATCTATTTATCTTTATTTTGCCTAATTGTGTCAATAGATTTGTCCTAAAACAGCTGGCAACAAAAGGAGCCTTGATTTGCATTGTATTGGATAAATGTATTATAATAGACATGTACTGGAATATCCAATATCTCCAATTTAAACTGCTGAGCCGTGCCCAAATGTCCCTGATTCTGGGTCAGCTGTATAGCCTGGTATATCCAGGGATTTTGCCCTTAGTACCTGGGATTATATATGAATGGTTGAAGAACTAGGCTTCACAAGATATCATGATGCAACCTCTGGGAAAAGATTATAATTGAATTATCTTCAGGAATATCTCAGTTTCTCTAGGCCGAAAATTTATTGTATTTTTTTTTGGAGGGGAGGGGTAGTCAATGATCTTAATTTTTCAGTACTAATAACATAATGTACTCCACGTTTGAATATACACATTTTATCATAAAAATATATAATGACAGGAGTCTAAATCCCTCTTACTATAAAATTGCAGCATTATGTAACCCAACACCAGTTACCATGGTGAGAGACAGGCTGGTCATTGACGAGGTCAGAGATCAGTGTTTGGAATGGAAGAAGAAGAGGAAACAGAGCAAAAACAATATGTTTTCCTTCGGTAAACATAAATATCAATATAAATATTGCAAAATGATCAAGCTCTAACTGATACTGTCACACTGATAATATTGTATGCTCCTCAACAGGTTCAAAAGTTCTAATTAAAGTGATTTGGTTTTAAAAGTTGTTGGAAATTTAGCTAGGTAAGCTACGTGTCAACCTACATGTATTCCCCCCTTTTAAACTGAATACGTGGATGGTTTGAATTTCAAAAGTTAAGCTGGAGGGATAAGAATGAGCAAATATGGGGGTACTAATACTACTTTTTTTCTGAAGGTTAATGACACAAAGGTCAAGTCACAAAAAAATTACTTAAGTAAAGTAAACATGATCGACACATAAGTGTTAGTTAAAGGTCATCCAGTATGTGGTAATGATGTCGGTTATTATTTGTAAGCATGGCAGGCACTGTGTAGCCAATACTTCTGAACCATTTGAAAGGACCCTCTGGGCTGTATTAGTCCATTCATAGGGCTGACAGCATCAGATGATCAATGGCAATCAGGCAAGGCCTCTGCCCTGGATCAATAGTTTCAGGAAAGGTTTGGGCTAGCCTCCGTAGCAGGCTTATGGAACTGGGGGTTTGATGGTCTTCGGCTGTTTTCTGATTAGCCCAGCTCTAAAAAACGGGGGTAATTCAACCTGGCCGGCTATGTTGTGTATATGCAATCAGAAAATAGCACATAAAAACTCCCAAAGACCCCCCAAACCCCCAGTTTTTGGCATGCTATGGAGGCTAGGTTTGGGCCTCTCTCTTCTCTTGTCCATT